CTTTTCCCAGGCTAGGGTGGCTGAACCCCTTGACTTCACACCCTGCCTAGACACATGGCAGCAGCCATGTGGAGCAAGTATAATTGTTCCTCATATGGCCTATCCTTCTGAGACAGGAAAGTAGTCACTTGAGGACCAGAGAAGATAACAATAGTGTCTCAGAAATAAAGATGCAATGTCAGATTCATCCTTTGGCTTGCAAAACTTATGATTCGGTTGATTGCTGGTATACGTCTCCCAATGTCCTTTGGTTGGTATTCAGGGGCCTAGAGGCAAATATTAGTAGGACTGATAGTGTTGATACCAAGGACAAAGTTGTAACAGTGGTAGACAGTGTCAGAACAGGAACAAGTGCCTGAGCCTTTTCCAGACATACTACATTTGCTTTAACTTCCCATCCCTAATACCATCTGGAGTGCAGGGGTGATGGAAAGCCATAGAAGCAACCCAAAGGAAAGGCATCTCTTGGTTAACCACAGAAATACTATAAACGACTTAAATAAAAGATCACAGAGCCTACTTCTCCATGCAGCAATTATTAGCGGGAGTCTTTAAAGTTTTCAGAAAAAGAAAACAGTTGAAGAAGTGCAGAAAGAAATACAGCCACTGCTGTTGATAAAAGGGCTAAGATATTGCATATTTAAGTCCAAAAAATAAGAGAATTCTTTAAAAGTGCCAGCTCTGAGATACATCGCCTTAAAAAAAAAAAAATCAGCTTTGCAAACCAACAGCCCTGTAAGTGGACGTGATGTCCAGCTCAGACTCGGAAAAGGAGAACACCAAGAACCCAACAGCAGAGGCTGGAGGCTACTCCCTCCAAAATGTCCAAGTACTGAATCAGATCCTTGTCCCTGTATATCTTCAAAATAGGAGCTATCTGGAGAGATGCTTATAAAGTTTTCAGATCACAAAAAGCTGGGAAGGGTGGCTAATACTTTTCAAATGGTGTTCTGAGAAACTGTGAGAAGCCTGGTGGGGTTCTGTGAAAAACTAAAGGGGAAACAAAAATGTTCACTCAAACACAGATAATTTTCTAGCTCTGGAGCTTTGCCTCTTGATCAGGGGTTCCAGGATTACAACTAACAGTTTTTGCAGCCTGAAAGAGTGTGAAAAGATCTAGACAGGCAGGAGCAGTGGGCTGAAATCAATAGGACAGCATTTGACAGGGGAAAATATAAAGTTCTGCATCAACACAGGAAAAAATGTAAGGCATAAATACATGATTTATTTTATTTTTATTTATTAATTAGTTCAATTTAGCTGGCTGCCCATCTCATGATGGCAACTCAGGGTGGCTAACAGCATTTAAAATAAAAATACAAACAACATAAAGCCTCAATACTTGTATTAGCAACCTAGGTACAAGTCAACAACTTCATGGGGTCTAACTAACCCCATGCCTGGGAACACATCCAGGTCTTCAAGCTTTGTGAAAAGCCAGGAGGGTCAGGGTCAACCTAATCTCAGAGGGAATGGCATTCCAAAGGGCAGGCACTGCAACAGAAAAGGCACACTTCTTGGATCCGGAAAGACGAGCCCCCTTAACCAATGCAACATGACTCTCCTGCCAGACTGAATGGACGGGGGAGACCTAGCTTGGCTGTACCACATGGGAAAAGGATCTGAATGTTCTTGTTGACCACAAGTTAAACCTGAGCCGGTAATGTGATGCAGCTGCTAAAAAAGCAAATGCTATCTTGGGCTGCATCAACAGAAACACAGAGTCCAAATCACAGAAGGTAATTGTTCTACCTCTAATTGCTCTGCCCTGGTCGGATGCCACTCAGAGTACCCTGTTCAGTTCTGGGCATCACAATTCTAAAGGACAATGACAGAGGGGAGGAAGTTCAGAGGAGAGCTACCAAGATAGTGAATGATTGGAAACCAAGCCCTAAGAGGAACAGTTAAAGGATTTGGGCTTGCTTAGTGTACCTAAGGTGACTTAAGATATAAAACAGCAGTCCTCAAATATATAAAGGAGAAGTAGACTTATTGTCCCACAGGGCAGGATGGGCAGGACCAGAACCAGTAGGTTAAAAATATGAGGATACTGAATCAGGCTAGACATCAGGAGGAATTTCGTGACTGTATAAGCTGTCACCTAGTAGAACAGGCTGTCAAATGACGTGGTGAATTCTCCTTTACTAGAGGCCTTCAAACAGGGCCTGGATGTTTATTTGTCACAGATGTACTACCAGATCCAACAGTGAGCAGGAGGTGGACTGGGTGATCTCTAGGATCCCCACCTCTCTATGATCCTCTGGTTCCATGATTCTATGAAAAGCTGCTTTGCTCAGCATTAACAGCAAGGACTCACCTTATTTGGATGAGGCTTTCAATTATTGGGAGTAAATATTTTTACATATTACATATCCCAAGGCCTGCTGATGATCTCCAATCACTCATGATTTTACTTTAACATACATAGGGATTTAAGATGTCAAACAATTACCAAAACATTTGCCTTGGGGCAAAAAACTGTCCCCCAAAAATAAAAGTGATAAAAAGCAACCAACCAAATAAATACGTGCACGTTCAATCCAGTGACAGTTTACTGGCTGAAGGATGGCAGCAATGCATTGCGTTTGCCTTGGTTATTTCTGAATTCTGAATTCATACCTGCAGTTACATGTACATCTCCAGCATAGCTCTATGTCTCCTGTCTATTACTGCAGAAAGATCAAAATCTTTTTACGTTTAGAATAACAGCTGTACAAATAAGTGTCTGTTCCCCCAACTCCCCTCGTATATAAAGCCCAGAAAAGATTTTGCCAACTGGCAAACAGATGAGAGAAATTGCCAATCATCTTCATCACCTTCTTTGCCTCCTTAAATTCCTCAGTAGAAGGCCAATGCAGCTTTCCCAAGGTACACATGTTCATGTAAACAACTTCCCATTGAAAGAACTACGTGCGCACAGTGATGAAAGGGGACAACAGAGGGAACACTGCAGATCATGGTCAAAACAAAGTTGACCAAATTGGTCTGCTGGGGTATTGCTGGGCCAACAAGAGCACTTGCCTGCTCCAAGATTCTTAACCTGGTCCCCTCGAAATATCTCGAACTGCAACTCTCATGGCCTTAGGTCAAGTTAGCTAAGCATTCTAGAAGTTGAAGTCCAGCTTATGTGACAAACACTGAGGTTGGAAAAATTGGTCTTACGTGTTTTTTTCCAACAGGGATCGCTATATATATTCTGTACATCTGAAAAATAATGGCATAGCACCAGTTCCACCTCTAACACATAGGGAAACCCTAAACTGTTGCCCCTCTTTTAATTTTAAGGGGAACTTTTCCAATCTTCTGAGTATCTATGAGGACTTTGAAAACTTCCAATTTGCTACTACATCCAAAGATAAACTGTGATTTGAAGTAGCTTATTTTTATTTTAAGTTTAGGCATAATTATCTGCTTGTCTAGACATAACCCTTAACTGTGACTGATTAAAAAGTGAAAGTGAACACCTACTCTTCTAATCACTGCACCAGAAGAGAAGTGCAAACGCAAGTTCAATTATAGTAAAACATAAAGATGCTTTTGGAGTATATGATTAGGAAGATTAGGAAGAAAGAAATTGTCTCAAAAGGGCTCAATGGCAACAGCAGCAACATCTGGATTTCCCTGGACCATATAAGTCCCACTGTTTTAGATTTTCAGCTTCATCATAATTCAGATGTTCTGGGACAGTGCACAAGGGACAGTTCAGTTGCTCATATACATAATAAAAGGCAGTTGTTAATCCTCATGATGCACCAAAAATATTTCTCAACATCTCGAAGTACATAGATCACCTTCAGCTCACCCTTCTCGTTTGTACAAAAGAGACTTTCCCTGGAAGAACAGCTGAAATATCTCAATTCCTGTTTAAATTATCATTTTTCTTATCACCACAATCTATGTTGCAGAGGCCATGTGTAATGGAGGAGAAAAACAGTTGGATAGATAAGTAAAAGGAAGAGAACATGGCAGGAAATCCACAGCTATCTCACAGTTTCCAGTTCAGCAGTGAATGTAGACATTGGAGGAATTTCTGGGATATGGACTATTCCAGGATATAGACTATTTATCCTTCACTATATTACTGAGTTTCAAACTACAAGCTTGGTTAATTGTGCAGTGGGCAGCAAAGCCTTTTTTTAAAAAATGCCATCCTAAGCAGTGTTGGGGGGGTGGGGGGGGGGGGGG